GTCGTTCAGGATTTGATTCGATTGACTTTGACATTCGTGAGCTTGTTTCGCCCCTTTCTTTGTGGCCCTTTGCAGCTGACGTATGACGATGTAGACCCCTAGGATTCGCGGGCGGACTCTTTGGTACCGGACCTCTGAACAGCATTCGGTGCCTGCCTGAAGGGCCTAATTTCGGTTGGTACGGCATATTGGCTGGCACCTGAAAGGTCCCGCACCGCTTTATTACATTGAATTCTCCGACATTCATTGAAATTCGATAATTTTTGCACTGCGCGTAAATCTGACCGTCCGACTGGGTTGAAGTTGCATCAGTGCTATACGCGGGGGGCACTATAAAGTGGCGCCGTTTGCTCAATGTTCTTTATAAAACCTTTTGAAAATCGCGGGCGCGGTGTTCCACTGCAAGTTTATTATTTATTGACATGTGGCTTATTGTCATTGGAAGATCTTTTTCAAAACTAGAACGGCAAAAGCGGCTACGGTGCTCTGACTCTGTCGGTTATATTAATGGTCTTACAACGTGACTGAACAGTGCATTTTGCCCAGGCTGGGACAGCGGCATCAAACATAGCGCATCAAACTGAGTTCACATCATTCAAAGGGATTCAAACCATTGGCATAAGATTAGCCGGGGTTTCGTTATGCTTCCTCTTCCCTTCTTCGATCTCTAATTTCGATATTGTAATATTGCTATCCCGTCTTCCATCCTTTGTCGATTTGCCTGTTGTATCGGGCATTACGGTGCTTTTCACGATCTGTTACTACACCTTAGGGCTTACAGGTAGAGACAAAGGGCGCTTTGAAAAGCCTTTAGACTTGAAAACCATAGTGTCGGTTAGGAAAGGGCAAAAACCTTGGCAACGCATGATTCGGATTCAGTCTTCAAATCTACAACGTGGTCCCTTATTGGTGTCAATTACCTCGGATGTTGTATATTGGGGCCGGATATAACGATCCATGAAACTAATAAAGTGGGCGTAGGATATGCATGTCACCCACTCCAATTGAACGATCAGATAGCGCAATCTCGAGAAGTCCAAAATGACATCGACTGCTGGGGAATTCGACTTTAATGATGGTACAAGATCGATCAAAATCGGGGGGGGGGGAACCAGCCAATATGCAACAGCAACTCAGAAACATAGTCACCGGACTGTATATTGTACAATACTTGGCGAGCCGGTCGATGGTATTGATTGTATATCATCCATAGCGGAGCAGATTTCGAATTGTGTTATAATTGTATGTGCAGAGCTTATTTCACAACCGGGAAAGGTTTATTTTGCTTCTTATTCACTGATCTTTCATGATCGGGCGGCTTGAAGCTTCTGATGAAAGCGGCAATAGTCATCGAACGGATAAATCTGCTCTAATTACAAGCAAAGAATTGACTTTTTGTCTCGAAATCTCACATAAGTGAACATTATACGCCCAGAACACAATCAGAGGTACAATGACATATCATTCCTAAGAGAAGCACTGATTATATAAGATTGTATCATCCATGGTCCGGTCAGGTACAATCAGGTAAGTATGGTGTAAAACTTGAATTTCGGCCTTCGGGTAGGGACCGCATTGTCGAAAGCTCTTGTATTGGAGAGTATCGACGCCATCATACCTTAGCTACGAAAGGCCGGTAATGAAAGAGGTGGAAACAAGCAACAACGTAAAGTGTGTCAAATCGACCCGGCGCAAACGATGGAGTCTGAGCTAAAGCGACTGAGCGCGCTTGCCGATTCGATTTATTGCACGCAATCGCCGACCAGATGTCACATTTCTGATCCCGGAAAAAAATGGCCATGTTCACCTCAAAAAGACCAACGGTATACATCGGTTGAGCGGTTCAAATGTCAGCAACATTTAAGGGATAATGGTTTTATCAGGTCCACTGATGGGTCGTCACTTTTAAGAACCCGCTAGTATGCAATAGT